ACAGCGAATTATTCACATAAACGAAGCCTTGTAGTTGTAATGAAAACCATTGGCATTGACTTGGAACATAAACAAATACAAAAACTAAAAGGGTTCACAAACATGTGCTGAAACAAACAATAGTCGCAGTTCATTTATTTCCCAAATAACTTGCAAGCGAGACATTGAAGGAAACAAAGACAAAAAATAAACGAAAGAAAAAGCAAAAGGAGAATTGGTTCCGGTGGTAGGGTTGGCTACTTGTAGTAGGAGAGAACAGTATATATGGTCTGCGTTAAGGTAAGGATGAGAATAATGGCCACTCCATTAGAAACAGACCAGAATGATGACGGATTGTATAAATAATTCCGTTTGACCCTTACTAGCCAAGTCTTTAGCCAGCGACGCTTAATATATTCATTTACTTCCTTTGCGAGCTCACTGTAAAAGAAGATGATGGCTTCAGTGCCATTGGAAAGCCTTTTGAAGAAAGAGGCTGTGCTCACCTTGTTCAACTCTGTAGTTATAATTTTTTTCTCAATCAGAAAGTCCACATCTTGTACAGACTCAATAAGTTGACTGAACAGGATGGCATAAGAGGTCATCTGACGCTGCTCGGGCTTCCGTGCACATTGTTCGTAGGCTATGAGGTTTCTGTTATGCTGTTTGGATACGTTCTACTTTCAAATGTGGGGTTCTGAAAGACATGGCAAGCAAGTTCACATAGAGATCTAGGGTCATCATCATTATCTCCCCTTGTGACCTGGAATAAGCAGTCAAGAACCTTCCAAGGGATTTGGTTTTCAACTAGCAACAAATCATTTGTAATTGTCGACAACATCCATGGCGTCTTGAAAATAGCATCACCATCTTCCACGGGAGTAGAGCGGACCATTTTGCGGAGAAGTTCAATAATAAAGCAGCCATCAACGAGCATCATTTCTACAAATTCATCACTAGACAGAGGAACCCCTTCTTCATAGCAATCACGAAAAAAAATTTCGTACGGTCTAATTCTATGGACAAGGTCCGCCAAATGCATGTTTGGAGGTAGTTTAGCAAGAAGGCATTTGAAATACCATAGTTTCATTTTTTCCATGGCTTGCAAACGCGCTCCTCCATGGTGAAATGGCCCAATTGAAACCAGATTTGGGCCCGTTTCATTGTACCTTCGTAGTGTTTCTGGGACTCTGTATATGGAACTATGAAATGGTAATGGTGATGCACTGTAAACTCTTGTTGACAAGGAGTCTAGTAATCCATCTTCCGCATTGCTGGCTGACATCATGATCCCTTTCAACCTCCAAATTTGACTCGCTCTGCTTTTATTAGCAAATTGTTTATAATAAAAAATGTCAATGAATTAAAGTACCAAGAGTGGAACCATGTATAAAGAATATCTGATTTATGCACGGAGGAGTTGCACTCTTTATTTAACTAAGGTATTCCTACAACTTAGAGATTTATGCATGTAGAATACATTAACAAATATATATATATATATATAGAGAGAGAGAGAGAGAGAGAGAGTGAGAGAGAGAGAGCAAAAAAAAAAAGGTAAAACATTCAAAAACCATAAAATGAACTTGGTTAATGCAAACATTAAGAATTAAAATTATTAATTAAATGAGGATAATATGGTAAATTCACAATTTTTATATATAAAAAAATTAAAAATTAAAAGAAAAATCAGATAATGGGTCATACAAGAATATCTGATTTATGCACGGAGGAGTTGCACTCTTTATTTAACGAAGGTATTTCTACAACTTCAAGATTTATACGTGTAGAATAGATTAGCAAATAATACTTAAGGGAAAAGCTTGGCTCCTTCAAATTGAGGAGGAGCTCCTCCTCAGAACAAATGGAATTTTGACACTTGTCAATCTAAGACATATCTTGAATATATTATGGGTTATGTGGTCAATGACCTTCATGGATCATCTTCTTCCTCTCAAAAAATTCCTTCATGGATCATCTTCCTTTTAATTTTTATACTAGTTACTCATTCTTCTATCAATAAAATGCTATCTTTCGACAATAAAAAAAACAATTCAATAAAATGCTATCGCCCTTCTCTCTCTAAATAAATAAAAAAAATCATGCCTTTAAGGTTTTCAAAAACCAAAAAATAAAATAAAATAAAATAGAATAAAAACTCATTTACTCTCTATATGCCAAAATAGAGACCAAGATCTAATTGAAACTTTTTAGATTTCATTGATAAAAAGATAGGAAGGTGGATAACTTCCACAGTGCTGCTCGAGACACCATATATATGTAATTGGTAACTGACAAAGGAAAGAGAAAGATGCATGTTTCTTAAACACACACACACACAAAAGTCTTAACATTTGTAGGCAATTTGTAGGAAAAACTCACCAGGATGAATCGAGAGGTTTGTTGGAGTTGTCGTTGCAGGATAAGAGGTACGCAAAGCAAGGATGAAGCCTGCGCCCTTTTAATGTGAAAAACACCTCCTAGTCCACATTGGTCAAAGTCGTTTTCTAATAATACGTGAATATTTTGTTTTGCAAGAAAGAAAGAAAAAGTTGTTTAAATAATAGTCCTTTTCTGTGTGGTCTTTTTTTAATGACATGTAATTCTTCAACAACCGGAAGATGATGTTTAAGCAAATAAAAAGGTTAAGATGCCCCGTTTACCACTTGTTAACTGCAGGTCTTTTTCATAAAATATTTAGTTTACCTCGGTCAGTGACTTGTTTCCTAGACCTCGCTTGGATACTTTATATAATAAAGTTCGTTGAATAATTGCTTAAGATATGTAACAAATCAAGTTGATTATTAAAAAAGGCGGTTCAACTAATTACAATATACAATTTGCTTCGGTTCGATTTTGATAAAAATCAAAAAGGAAACCAAACTAAACCAAACCCATTAAAGACGGTTTAGTTTGTCATGTTTGGGCTTAAACCCAATTCTCTTTCATTTTGTATTTTTTCAACATTGTTAGTCCAATTACAACTAACAAATCCAAAACTTGCTCCATACTTAAATCATTTTCTAGAGTACGAAATCATCCTAAAGCTCAACATGCCATAAAACTTCAAACTTCAATAACTAACATAGCTCAACTCAAATATCCATATATAGTTATTGAAGGAAACATTAAATCCTAGCTATATTTAGCCACAGGGATAAGGTTACAATTGATCTTAGGCAACGGAAGCTTTAAAATACCATAAAATGGTAAAACATTCAAAGTACCAGAAAGCAAAGCAACGAAACCCAATTTTATAGTTTCGGCCCAAATGACCCATTTTCCGCATTACCTATATATACAAAGCAAAAGGTAGAGAAAAGTAAAACATTCAAAATACCATAAAATGCCCTTGGTTAATACAAACATTAAGAATTGAAATTATTAATTAAATGAAGATAATATGGTAAATTCACACATTTTCATATTAAATAAATTAAAATTAAAGGAACTAATATCAACTTGAAAACGGAGCAGACTTCTAAGTTTTCCATTTCAAATTCGAACTAATATCAATGATTTATTATACCACTTGAAAACGAAGTCATATTTCCCTTCCACTTCAGCTACATCAACGATAAGGGCGGAATTATAAATTTTTCAATAGGTAGGCTAGCTAAATTTTTTCAGTTTAAAATTAATGATTTTTATTTAAACTTATGGTTTCTACAGTTTTTCTATAAATAGAAGTATACATTAAATCATATAAATAAAAAATATAAATACATTTAACATAAGACAAATGCATATTAAATACAACCAAAAAATACTTATTATCAAGGTGTGCCTATTCAAGTTGTGCCATGCTCTTGTTGAGAGAATACAACTACCAAAAGGTAGCAGAGAATTAAATAGACTTGAGAAAAATAATATTTTCTTAATGTATTGTAGTTTATGGTGGTCTATATAGTTTTTGTTCTTTCAAAATCCTTTCCTTCAAACCATCAGACTTCATATTTCCTTTATGTGTTGTGGTTGCTAGTTTGCCATACATATAGGTTTGTTTTTTTCTTCAAAAATCAACCTAGGCTACAGCCCACCATAGCCTTGTGGGTGGTTCTACCATTGGTCAATGAAGAGACATGGTCTGATGATGACCGATGACGGTGAGATAAATGCTTTTATTAAGAGCAGTTCCACCGAGGCCCCCTTGCCTCGAGCTGGGGGAGTTTTTTGCAAAAATTGGTTTCCAGCAGTGAGCCCAAGCACGGGCTGGAGTGGGTCCCACGCAACTCGGGCTGGCCCGAAGGCCAATTCAGCCCCAAGTCCAAAATGCAGGCTGGTGTTGACGTCAGGCTGGCGTCAGCCCACTCATTTGATTTTTTTTTTTTCTATTGCCACGTGGCGTCGTTTGGGCTCTCCGATCTGATTTTTTCCTCCAATCCAACGGCAGCCAATTTTTTTGCAATAAAATACTGGAAAAAATTCAGAAATTTTTTAAAAAAATACCCAAAAATTAATGAATTTTTTTCTATAAATACCAGCCAATTTTTTTTTAATTTATTTGAAATTTGAAATTGAAAATTTTATCCGATTATGAGATATGAATAGTATTGATACGTAGGAACCTGAAAATCTTATCCGAAAATATTATCCAAATTAATTATTGAGGTAAAAAAAGTTGTGAAAAAAATAAAAAAATGAATAGTAAGTGCCATTTGCCATGGCAGCGGGTGGAAACGGAAAATACTATTTGCAAGGGCAACTACTATTCACGTGAATAGTGGCTGCCCTAACTCCCCCTTGCCATGGCTAAGGGCAAATGGGTGGAGTTGCTCTAAGTGTGTTCAAATAGTCTAGCGAAGGTGAGCAGATCTACTCTTGAAAAAAATAAATATAAATCTTAAAAAAAAAAAAAAAAAATTAAATCTCAGTTAGCCAATTTCATTAATAGACATGGTACTATCACATAAGCTGCCACATAATGTGGTCAATTAAGTGTGTTCAAATAGCATTGTGGAGCAAATAGGATTCCTTTTTGTCTTAAAGGAATTCTAGTAGTCTTTTTTTTTTTTTTTTCAAAAGAAAGAGAGTATATTATTCAAGGAAAACAGTGAGTAACTAGTACAAAAATCGGCAAGTGGGTGAAACCAATAGTTCTCAAATTGCCTTAGAAGAGTGCAGCAATCCTACAACAAACCAGCAAGTGGGTGAAACCGAGAGACATCAGTTTATTGGATAAGTTGTACACCAAGAGCTGAGTCCATTTCAATGATGAGCCTATTGATACCTTTATCCAAAGCCATTTTAAGACCAAAAAATAAGCCCCATAGTTCAGCTTCAATTATTTGGCCCTTTCCCAAGTTCACTGCAAACCCCTTAATCCATTCTCCAGCACAGCCACGAAGAATACCACCAGCACCAATATTCCAAGAGGCAAGTATGCAAGAACCATCCACATTCAGTTTAACCACTCTAGTACCAGGAAATTCCCAAGCCAAAAAAAATATGTATTTTCTCCCCGGCTATAAGATGATTTGCTTGGTGTTAGAAGGATTAGCCTCATCAACATTGACAGTATGACCCGAAGCCTTGCAAAACAAATCCAAACATCTTTTCATGATCCGTGCATGCTTCGGGCTAGCCTCCGAAAAAAGGATTAGGCTCTGCAAAGAAGAGGTGAGAGACAAAAGGCCTAGATTGGGAAGATTGGACAGGCTTCCAATTCTTTTTGCGAACAGAATCCACCATCATGTAGTGGGACAGTTTCTCAATGCATAAAACAAAGAGATAGGCCTTAGATAAATCAATCTTCCATGCAACAAAACCTTTCTTGCCTTTAGACCCTGAATTCATGCATAAGTTCTCAAGCGATGAGGATGTTGTCAGTAATATGTCTACCCGGAACAAAGCTAACCTAGTTAGGGCTAATCAAATTGGGTAGAATAGGCCTTAGACGAGCAACCAGGATCTTGAAATTACCTTGTAGACAGTGCAACATAAACTTATAGGGCGAAATTGATCATAGAGGTAGGATTTTCCACTTTAGGCACCAAAGAGACTCGCCTTAACTTCTTCCATATCAACAGTAGTTGCCAAGGAAACCAACTCTCCAGAATCAATACAAGGAAAGAGATTTGGGATTGCAAATCTGCTGGTTGGCACATGAGCAGGAGAAAACAAATCAGAAAAATAGTGCATAGCCATATTTTTAATACCTTCAGCCTCTTCCACCCAAACTCCACCATCATTCTTGAGTCTGTCAATTTTATTCTTTCTCCTTCTAATAATGGTAGACATGTGGAAGAACTTGGTATTACGGTCACCCTCTTGAAGCCACTTCACCCTAGATTTTTTGTGCCAAAAAACGGCTTCCTGGTCCAGGATACCATTAAACTCTTCAATAAGCACAGTTTCCAAATTGTTAAGAAAATCATTAGGCCCTTGGCATAAGGCCTTCAGAATCCCCGCTAAACGAGCTAAAATTCTGGCTCTTTCTTCGTTTGATATGACC